AGGTGGGCCAAAAAGCTGCATCGCTTTGCTGGAGAGAGAATTGCAAACTAAAATTTAAAAATATTTTCTTGCAGTTTGACACAGGTGAAGTGCAAAATCCACAGCACTCGTGCTTCAGCTGCCCAGGGAGGTGGTGGAGTCTCCTTCTCTGGAGACATTCAAAACCCACCGGGACACGTTCCTGGGTGGACCTGCTTTGGCATGGGGTTGGACTAGATGATCTCCAGAGGTCCCTTCCAACCCCACGTGATTCTGTGATTCAGCTGGTTTCCTATCAAATAAATGTACTTGCACTTTCAGATCAATATGGACTATATTCTAAACTCCTTTTTATTGTTAATGTTAAATGTGCTTGACACCTAAGGGGCTATTCAAAATGGGCAAAAAAAAAAAGGAATCTGGGTTTGGCGGCAAGCTGAAAGGGAAAAGGAATACATGCAAGGGGCAGTTAAGGCTTTGGGAACAGAAAGGAGAAACTGGGACACTTTGGAAAATGATCAGAAAGTGGTTGACAGCTTTAATTATCGGTGCCATCTTCCAGTTCTTAAGCAGCTGAGCATTTTCAATTTCGGTGCACTTACAAGAGCAAACAGCAGCATGACCGCTGTGTTTTTTGGAGGAGGGATAGTTTGTGCTCCTGGAGGAGGGAAAAGAGGAGTCACCTCTGCAGGGACTGAGAAACATCACTTTAACGAGAAAACACAATTCAAGATTTCCAAAATCGAGTGCCTAAAATTAGGCTTTGAAGTCCTAATTTAAGAATGGAGAAAGTGGCTGTTTTCCAAGGAGGGTGAGCAGCCAGGCCTGACGGTGCATTGCTCTCAGAAGCCAGCACGATTATTTAGATGCCTATTTTGGGGATTTTTTTTTGAAACTGAAGTTCAGGGACTTAAATGTGAAAACTGGGATCTGTTGTTTCAGGGAGTTCTGGAGCAGCAGGGGTGTGAGCTGGGGGATCCTGGTGCAAGGGAGCAGGCTCCCAATGCTTTGAGCTTTCAGCCCAAAATGTTTTGTTGCTGCTGCTTGGTTGGATTAAAAAGGGTGGCATTGGACAGGGGGCAAATCTCTGTATTTTCGTGCCATGTCTTTGCACCTGGAAACTGAAGTTACTCCAAGAAGAGACTCACAAAACAACATTAAAATTGATGACATGACATGGACGGTGGGATCGAGTGCCCCTTCCGCAATTATGTTGGACACCACCAAGATGAGTGGAGCTGGTCGACGCGCCTGAGGAATGGGATGCCATCCAGAGGGACCTGGACAGGCTGGAGAAGTGGGCCCATGTGAACATCATGAGGTTCAACCAAGCCAAGTGCAGGGTCCTGCACCTGGGTTGGGGCAACCCCTGGCATCAATACAGGCTGAGGGGGTGAAGGGATTGAGAGCAGCCCCGCTGAGAAGGACTTTGGGCTCGATCAAATGCTGGACATGAGCCGGTTCATGTGTGCTGGCAGCCCAGAAAGCCAACCACATCCTGGGCTGCATCCAAAGAAGTATGGCCAGCAGGACGAGTGAGGTCATTCTCACCTTCTACTCTGCTCTGGTGAGACCCCACCTGGAGCACTGCATCCACCTCTGGGGCACTGGAAGGACTTGGACCTGTTGGAGTGGGTCCAGAGGAAGGCCACAAGGATGATCAGAGGACTGGAGCACCTCTGCTGTGAGGACAGACTGAGAGAGTTGGGGTTCTTCAGCCTGGAGAGGAGAAGGCTCCGGGGAGACCTTATTACGGCCTTCCAAGGGCCAAGTATTTAAAGGGGGCCTACAGGAAAGGTGGGGATAAATCTTTCAGCAGGGGCTGTTACAACAGGACAAGGGGTAATGGTTTTAAACTAAAAGAGGGAAGATTCCGACCAGATACAAGGAAGAAATGTGGTGAAACACCGGCACACGTTGCCCGGAGAGGTGGTAGATGCCCCATCCCTGAAGACATTTAAGGTCAGGTTGGATGGGGCTCTGAGCGACCTCTTTTAGTTGAAGATGTCCCTGCCTGTTGCAGGGAGGTTGGACTAGATGACCTGTAAAGGTTCCTTTGAATTCAAACCACCCTATGAATTGTATGCCTTGCTACAGGGTGTCTTCTAGGTAAAGGAACGTTGCCAGTGATCTGCTCCGGTATGTGGTCAGCTGCGGAATTTCCTTGCTTTCAGCGTTAGGAAACATGCCCATCACAGTGTTTCAAATGGCCACTGGTTTAATTTTTCTGGGAGTCGATGTTCCTCTGAATTGGGAAACTATTCAAATTAAAAAAGAACCCTTGTAGTTGCTGCCGTTGAAGCAGTATTTAATGTTGTGTGGCTGTTGGCAGGAGACTTGATGCATTTTCACATGACCCCCTCTGGAACAAAAGCAGATTGTTTCCCTCTGTTTTTCTGTTACACAAATGAGTTCCTTTTGAAACAATTTCTTTTTTTTCTGCAGATTCTGGAAATCGACACCGGGAGTAGTTCTTCCTTTGCTGTGCTTTTTACAATCTGCTGCCTGATAACGCCGGCACAAAAAGCTGCTTTGGGGTAGCAGCCCAAAAAAAAAAGCTAAGACCTCTGCAGAAAGCCTCCTCCTTCTCTCGGGGAACGAGGCTTTCTTCCAATTTTATGGGAGGATTGAACATGGAGTTTCATTTCTTGCTGTCTTTGCTGTAGCTGGGCAGAGTTGGTTTCTGCTTTCTTAGTTGTTTCCTTTATGTATCTGCATTTTCAGTGTCCAGCAAGTAACAGCGTAGAGTGAGTCAGTTCTGAATTGAGCTATTTTTTTTTTGGTCGATTTTTACATAACGAACCTTTGTTTTTGAAACAAACTCTCCAATCTGAAGCTTTCCTCTGCGAAAAGGGGAGTCAAAGTCAGGCGCAGATGCTGGGTTATTGGATGAGGCAGCGCTGCGTAACTAAATCAATCGGTGCCGGATCAAAGGAGCCACAGACAAATTGAGTAAGTGGGGATTTCAAGCAACAAAATGAATTATCCGCTGGGGAGTGCTTTTCCTGGCAATATTTAACAGCTGACAGATTGGGGGAAAAGAAAAAAAAAAAAAGGAAGAGCTTGCTCCGGATAAGTTTCTTTCTTCCCCTTGGAAATTATCTACTTGTTTCTCACAATCTTCCTGATTGATGTTCGTGCTTCTGGTAGCACAGTGTAGGCTGCTTAGTTAAATTTCCTTATTCCTGGGGCAGCAGCGTGCCAGTGCTGTGGCCATTCACACAAGCTTGTGTGCCATAGCTGGTGGGGTGGCATAATCCCCAAAATGCCCCTTCCTGTAAAGTGAGTACTTATTTGGGCTGGGCTTCTTCAGTTGGAAAATAAAACCGGTATGAATGAGGACTGGGAAACGCTTCTAACACTCCTGGTTATTTTAATCAAGCTCTTTTGTTTGTGTCCGGTGACCAGATTCCAGGGAAGTTTCTGTGCCTTTGTGTGGTTCAGAGTGGTACAAGACTTGATGCTGGTGGAGGGGAATGTCCTCTTCTGCCCCTGTCCCCGAGAGCCCCGTGGGAAACGATGGGCTGGGGGTGCCGCCAGGAACCCTCGGGGGGCACATCAGCCTCTGGCCTGGAGCCCTGTGGTGAAAGGGATGGAGATGCATGTGTCCAAGCCTGTTGTATTTTCTTGGTCCCGTGGGAAGTCGAAGCCCCTGTGGGGGCCAAGCAGCTCCTGGTCCTGCTTTGGACCAGGGAGAGGACATCGCTTGCATCCTGCTTGGCTTCTCTTGCTGGACTCGAAAGAAAAGGTGTCAGTCCCAGCTGACTAAAACCAGAGGACCCACTATTCCTTTTACTTGCATAATTCAGAAATCCCTCAGAGGCAGGGTTTTCACAGGTGGAAGAGAGGCCTTTCTTTAGCTAGGACTAAAAAAAAAAAAAAACAGAGATGAACTATTTTGTTGTTAGCAACTATATGTAAACTCCTGTGATTGTTTTGGTTTGTGGTGTGGGTATGCTGACAGCTTCTGTGTTGCTTACATTATTTCCCCATAACTAAAAATTGTTGTTAATATTAGTACTCGATGGGGGAAGAAACACCAAGAAGTGAAAACCAGCTTATTAAAAACGGATAAAATCATTTTAGTGAAAGTTCGGTACAGATCTGGATAGAAAAGAGGAAACTGAATGGATTTTTGTTGTTTTTTTCTTTGTTTTCTTGTTTTTTTCTTAAGAAGAAAATGACTTCCTCTTCTCTTGAGAACAGCATCATGTGCAATTTCCCCTGCTCAGGGAAGGTGTTGCTACTTCGTACAGCGACTTACCTACCGCCGTCTATAAACCAGGTGCTACCAATAAATACGGGCCGTGTGTGGAACTGACTGATGACATTTGAATCCCTACTGTGCTGGGGTTGGATGAGCTTTACCTGGTTGTGTCTTACCAGTAAGCAGTTTCTGGAACTGGAGATGCTCGTGCCCTGAACTGCAGCGTTTTCTCCCTCGCGTCTGCAGCCCTCTCTGTCGTTCGCTGGCAGTTGATCTCTTGGTTTTATGGGCTTTTAATCAGAGCTGTAATCAGTCACCTCTCTGCAAAAGTGACAGCGGAGCCAGTTTTCACTTTTGCTTCCTTCCCTCCTCCTCCCTGGCTAGCATTGCCGGCCAGTTGTTAAAAAAGCTTCACAGTGTATATTTGAGAATTTCAATGTTGCCGGCTTTCTCAAGGATCCAGTCTTCCTCCCCCTCCTCTTCCTCCTCCTTGCAGAGGGATCTTGCAACATGTCATCCTGTGTTTGCGCTTACAAAATGCAGAATTAGAATTTCAGGTTAAGCAGAACTCGTTATTTTAAGCTTCTGTATATCTGAAACTATGATTAAATACTTCGGTGGGAAATACTGCTCTTACAGCAGTGGCTCTCTGAGACTAGAATAAGCTTTATGTACTTTACTTTATATACACTGGTAATTTCCAGTATGTCTGCTGCAGTATTTTCTTTATTAACCCTAATAGATGTATTCAGGTGGTTAAACTCTTTTCATGAGCTGAATAACTGACTTTCTCCTCTTCTTTCCATTTCCGTAGGTTGTAGAATGGAACTTCTGGATAAAACAATCAATAGCTACCTTGATGTTTGGCTTGGACCCAGAGGTAAGATTTGCCAGAAATTAAATACATAAATAAAACTGTTATTGAAGTGCAGATACGAGAGCATAAGAAATAGCTTCCCTCTTACATCCTGACATTGACAGGTGACTTTCTTTAGTATCTGCACAGCATCAAAATCTATGATTCTGTAATAAACAAAAAAGTCTATCGAATGTTTCTGATCTTTTGACCTGAAGAGCTGCTAATTTTTCAGCTCTGACAATCATAGTGCTGTTCTTCTTGTTGTTAGTCTTAGTGAACGACTTATCCCACTCAGAACTTTGCTGTCTTTTTTTTTTAGGATTTAATAATAAATTTTATTAAAAAATCTTTTTAAAATTTGTATTTGATGAAATAAAGATACTCTTGCCCTCAAAACTAGAGCTGCTGAAGAGTTTTTCACTGAAAAATCTGTAGTTTTTGGAAAGCATTGCTTCTTTGAAATTATTCTTTTTAAAGAAACAGTGGGGTTTGGGTAGGTTTTTCAGTGGGAAAATGTCTAGAGGTGGAGAAGAGCAGTCCTGGTCAGCACGAGGAAGGGAGAGGCAGTGGGACTGGGACAGGCAGTGGTCACCTGGTGAGGGCATCCTGGTAGGGATGGCCCTGTTCCACCTGGTCCAGACCATGGGGGATTCAATACCAGTGTCCCATACAGAGCGTGCATAGCAGTGCTGCTCGGTGGCATGTGCTTTCTTCCTCTGATGGCTTTGGTACCATCTTTTCTACCTCTTTTTTTGTCCCAGTGGAACTCTGATGGTGGTGCCACTTCCTCACAGGACAAAGTCCACAGGAGGTGAAACAAGCTGCTGATCCTTCAAAGTGTGTTTTCTGTTTGCTTTTAGGAGCTCAGTGCCCTTGCTGCCCAGCTCTTGGTACAAAGCCCATTTAAATTAGTCTGCATCTTCTGATACAACATATTGCATGTGCTGGCATATGGTCTGTATTTGTCATGTCTCAAAAATAATGAACCATAAAGGTGGCAAATCCAAACAATTCCCCAGCTTTCTCAACTGCTTCCCAACCTACATTTTAAGACCTCATTTCTTACTTTCAGCATCCACATATGACTCCCTTAACATTAAATAGAGACTGTGAATGCCAGCAATACTTGAATTTAGTTCGTTTGTGGTTTGATAAACTTGGTTTCAATCTTTTGGGCTGACCTTAGTGAGAGCAGTGAAGTACTGGGCTGTTGCTGGGGATGGACAGCAGAGTTGTGGTTCAGAAGCATGATGCACTTGTCCCAAGTGTTCCCCTGAAACCCTCTCATTCAGGGTGGTTTATGTGTTTTTTGACGTGTTGCCAACTGGGCTGGTTAATCAGACTGGACTGGCTGCTCTGTGCCTCATTACCCATACAAGGACTCCAAAATTTAATCCTTTTGAGTAGCACACGTGCAAGCTAATTGGGTTAGTATTGATTAGAAAATAATTATCAGGATCATCCACCGATAAGGACAAAGGTATCTGCTTCACTCTTAGCTTTGCTGGCTGTGTGAGGAGATAAGGTGGGTACTACTGGGAAAGGATGGGTTGAGAGAATAAGGGAAGAGGTTGTTGAAGCTTTTCTTTAAAATTGAAGCTCCTCTGTGTTATTCAAGATGGGTTATGATTCTGAATGATTATTTAGAAATAATAGCAGGAATGGTTTAAGAATATTTTTGCCTTAGGAAGAAAATTATTTCTGCTTTCTTTAACAACTGCATAACTAGAATCTTCTTGTTTGCAAAGGTTGTTTGTAATTAGCAGTGTGGCCCTTAATAAAAGGACTTGCTGCTCTTCCTTCATCTTTCGCCGGTATTCTGGTGTGAGAAGCGTTTTGGGTTCAGCTCTTTCTGGATTTGTTCGACTCTTCCCCTTGCAAAAAAGGTCTGAGTGTTTGTATGTTTTTGTTTGTTTGTTTCAGACCCCAGAGTAAAAGGATGGCTTCTTCTGGAGAACTATACACCTACCTTTATCTTCTCAGTCTTGTACTTGCTAATCGTATGGCTCGGACCAAAGTACATGCGGAACAAGCAGCCGTTCTCGTGCAGGGGTATTCTAGTGGTCTACAACCTTGGACTTACACTGCTTTCTCTGTACATGTTTTATGAGGTAGGAGAAAAGGGGTTGGGTCGGGGTTACTTTGCAATATCTGTTTTAATTGTGTTGGCCTGCATTGAACATGCTTTCTGAGGACAGTCCTCTCAAACCTGGGGAAACATCTGCAGAAATGTTGCCACCGTTTCTTCAGTGTCACTTCTCAGGGGAGAAACCCATAGTTGTAATGTCACCTCTAAGGATGGCATGAACAAAACCTTGCCTCAAACGTCTGTGCTGACCTTGGTTAGCGATGTCTCAAACGTGCTGCTCTGGCTCGGGGCAAGGGAAAGACCTGATCTTTGAGCATGAACCTGGCTGCTCCTTCAGTGACTCCTCCTTGCCTGGAAGTCATGCTCAGCGTGGTTGTGCTGGTGGATTGTACAAAGTACTTTGTAGCGAAACTACCGCTTGATTTGAAGTGCAAAACGTCTTTTATTTAGATGTGTTTAATTATGCACGCACTCTTCGCATCTGTTTCTGTGAGCTTGCCATGGCTTCTCTTGTGTCCTCTTAGTTCTGCTCAAACAATTGCATCAGCGCCGCTGTGATTCATCTGTTTCTTGGAAGTTAAGATCTGAACGTAGAAATATATTTCAAACTGGATTGGACTTTTTGTGGACTTATTTTCTTTCCTAACAAAACAAAGATTTAGGCAGTATAAAGTTTTCCACTGCCCAGAGAGCACTTCAGCTGCTTTTACTCAGAATTGTATGTTTTTATTAAAGTGAAAATGAAGGACTATGGAAGTGTAAATAAGAATGTGGTCAGAAAATTATGAAGTGTGTGGCTTTAATGTACAGAATATTCTGGCTTGTTTTTAAAAGCAATTTCTCCTTCCTCTAAGGGGAGATTTCATTTCAACATGCAATTACAAGCCTGAGCTACTACTAATCTTTTCTTTTTCTTTTTTTTTTTTTTTGGCATTTGCTTAGACATATATGCAAGCCATAATTCTTCTTTAAGTTTGTAGTTATTTCTCTAGTGTTTTACAAGGTGAGTGGTTAGATAGGAAGCAATTTACATTTAAAGTTATTTCTTTTGTGTAGTGAATTGTCAAAAATTACTGAGTTGGTTTATTAAGAACTTCGATACTTAATTTTTTGGGGGGGAGCAGTTTTGGATTCAGTAGGTACTTGGAACGTATACTTGCTGTGCTTACATTTCTAACTTCTCTGTCAGGGTGTTACAATCCAGAAAAATTTATCTGATGATGTGTTTAATTTGTCTAAAAGTAGTGTTGCTGTGGACTTCATGTACATCATCTGCATTATTTTATGCAGATACGGTTTATAATTACATAATAATCTATTGTTTTGACCTCCAATTATGTTATTGAAGGTCTACAAGTGCAGACTTTCCTTCCGTTGTACTAAGTGTGGATAAAACTCTCAAGGTAGCCAGTCATTTTCCCTTGAATACTTGGAATAATACTCATAATTTCCAAATGAAAGTTATGGGAACATACTTCCATGTTACAAATCCTACTGATAAATGTAAACAACAGAACAGATCTGAACTGTTGGTCTTATAAATGCCTTTTTCCTGCTAACAATGAACTGGTTACCAAGAAAAGACTATTTATGCTGAAGAAGTCCTCCTACTTGTAACCAGCTGAACAACTTTGAAGTTGTGAAGGCACGAGACAACTAAAATACAGTGAATATTAAGGCTCCTCCTTCCTACATAGTGAAACACTGTACATCAAAGTGAATATTGCTGTTAGTGCTGCGTTATCTGCCTGGAGGTGTTCACTGGTGGTGGTGTAAGTACTCCTCTTTATGAGTGGGAATACAGGAAGCTACAGTGTTATGAAGACCATTAAACTCACCATAGTTGCATGAAATGTGTTTGAAATGTGTTTGGCAGCACATACGAGCTAGACGTGAGGGCAAGCGATGGATCCCTTAAAAATGAGCCGTGCTGGCACGATGCCGCGCTGCCTGGTGTTTGCAAGGAGAGAGCCAAAGGGACAGGGGAAAAATATTATCAGCTTCCTGCACGTCCAGGTATGTCCTCCTCTAGCTGTAGTGCCTCTGCAATTACCTGTGTTGGTGCAAAGCAGGCAATACCCTTGCTCAGATCACGTCAGTCGTGGAAATTTGGCTTGGAAGGATTAACCATACATCAGTAGCACTTTATACTTACTCACTTTTAAGAGAAAATGGCAAAGAACAACATTCAAAAAAGAGATGTAACTCCCTCTTCTCTTCCTTATTGTCACTTTGAGTTTCAGCTGGATTAAGCTTTTTTTTTTTTCAGTCTTAGTTTGAGGAGAGTCATAAAACATCACCACTTACAAACTTGTTTAGTGGCCTGTCTAAAAATAAGCTGCTTTAATAGCTTGTGTCTGATACACCTGAAACCTTGCTTGGGAGTTTTTCCTGACTAATAGCTGTGGTGGTTCAGGTCATGATTCAGAGCACCACAGCTTCGTTTAAATATTATATGACCAAAACAAGATGTTAAAGTGAGCTAGGATGAGAAAGATGACCTATTTGGTTTTCTGACCTTTACATCTGAATGTTTGTATGCAATAATGTGGGGAAAAAAATTTTGCATTGTAGGATTTGTATAATTCTAGTTATTGTGCACTTGCACCATTTGCTCTACTGATGTAATATAATATAGCCTTATTTTAAAGTCAATAGATATCTAATACCTCTTATTTGGAATTCCTAAGATAGTCGTTTCTGTGTGTACTTGCTATAACTTATTTATTTGGGCATTTAATGGCTGCGCTGGGTTCTGGTTCCAGCAGAACAGAGTAGTGGGCTGTGCTTCTCCCAGAGAATATAAAAGGCAAGGCAGACCTGGGGGAGTGGGAGAAGTTTCTCCAGACTAACCTGTCACTCCCATACCTCAGGAAGAGGGGACATTCATTAGGGGCAAACAACAAGATTTTATACCTGTTTATCCCTGGAGGGGTTCAAGGCCAGGCTGGATGGGGCTTGGAGCAACCTGCTCTGGTAGGAGGTGTCCCTGCCCATGGCAGGGGGGTTGGAACTCGATGATCTTTAAGGTCCCTTCCAACCCAGACCATTCTGGGATTCTGTATAACTCTACAGTGCTTGGACTTTGAGGGGAAATAGCGCTCCTGTCTTGGGCCGGGGCAGCAAGGGGTGTCTTCTCCACCGCGGTGGAGTGGAGTGGCTGGCAGTGGCCTTACAGGAGGTGGATTACTGGCCCACTGGCTGGCATGTCTGTGTCTGAGGGAGCCATGGGAGCAGTTGGAGCAGCACAGCTCCATCACCCGTGCTGCTGCTCGGCGCCAGACCACGAGCCCAGTCGTCATGCAAGGCCGTGAGTCAGACCCGTGCTGTTCTACTCGAGTCTCAGCCGGGTGACTTGGCAAAGAGCCCCAGGTACCCAGTTCCACAGCACCCAGACCTGCTTCGTTTTGGGGTGTGTGTTAGCAGAACTACCCCAGTGACCTGGACTGGCCAGGCTTACAGTCAAGAAAACTGGTCAGTGATGAAGGCTCACCTCCTTAACTGATCTCTTTACTGCCTTTCTTCCTTCTTCTGAAAAATCCCTTCCCTACGGAATCATAGAGTCATATGGCGTTGGAAGGGACCTCTGGAGATCATCTACTCCAGCCCCGCCGCTGGAGCGGGTCTACCTAGAGCAGGTTGCACAGGAACGTGTCCAGGAGGGTTTTGAATGTCTCCAGAGAAGGAGACTCCACCACCTCTCTGGGCAGCCTCTTCCAAAATCTGCCTGAGCAAAGTCTCACATGTTCCTGGTGAGGAGGAGGTGGGTGTGCTGCAGGAGGAGTATCCCGAGCCGTGCCCTGCTTGAGGAAGAGGGGACCCGGTGGAGAGGTGGGTGGCAGCCCTCTCTTCCCTCTCCCCTTCCCTTCTCTGCAGTCCCGAAGCCCTTATCGCTGTCCTGAGGTGACTGCCTTCGTGTAGAGATAAAATTTCCTATCTCTGCAGACATTTGCTTCCTTTGACCAGACACGTGAACTTCTGCTTCTTTTTGCTTTAATCTGATTCTGCTTTGAAGCCCGTGAAGCCGTGACAGCGTGATGGGTCCCTTATCTGCCCCTCTCCAGCGAGTCTCAGGCTTTGGTTTTATGGTGAGAAAACCAAACCCTCCCCAGAAATGCCTCTTCTACAGCCCGGTCAGACTGGAGTGAGCCTGCTGGTTTATTTTGGTAGCAGGGTTTATAAAAGATGCACATGCTACGGCACTTTAAATAATTCAGCAACGGAATTACAAAATGAAAGCAAGATTAAAAAAAATAAAATTTCAGCACAGGGGAAGGAAGTTAAGAGTTGCAAAAGAAAAGCAACTTTAAGCTGCAGGGTTTTCCCTGGAGCTGAAGGACTCAGCATTGACTTTGAGTACCATCTTAATTGGCTTATGAAGGAGCTGTCTCTTTTTGTGTCGTTTAAAAATCACGTACTGTGGTGAAAATTATTCTCGTCAGCCTTTTGGAGACAGGCTCGTTTCTGCAGAGGAGATACGTCTGTGGTTGTGCATCAGCGATGCCATTAGCCAGCCTGGGCTCCTGCCAGCCTGAAGATGAAGGACTTCTTAGGGGCGGAGGGCAGGGAAAGGTTGTCCCAAGCCTGAGGTGTCTGAGGAGCCCTCAGCCCATCACTGGGAGGATGAGGAGCGCGGGGCGAGATGAGACCTGCTGTGCCGTAGCTGTAAGGGGGGGTTAGAAGCTCCAGCCATCCTGGAAGCAGATCACAACAAGCGTGAGGAATGACTTAAATGCAGGAGCTGGCAATTCATGACACCTCCGTTTATTGTTTTCTCGGTGGCACAGGAGCAGGTCGTGGTCAGGTCCCGGAGTGGCCCATTGATTTTTGTGTTGTGAAGCCTCCCAGAGCACGTGCTGAAAGTATCATGGGTGTCAGAAATAGTGGTGGCAGGCGAAGGAGCAGCCGGCTCACTCGGGAGAAGGGTTGTCTGTGTGTGCTGTGTGTTGCACCAAGCAAGGTTTGCGGGCAGCGATAGCAGCTTTTCACCATTTAGTTCCTCCTGGAAAGGGAGGGAATAAATTATTTTTGTGACTATGCTGTTTATATGGTGAAAGATACTATTAGTTCCTACCAATGTATCTTTGCTTTTTGAAGCCCCTGTGGCTGTGAGATGGCAGCTCTTAGCTTATTATTATGTACTCTTCTGGAAACAAGGGAGTCCTTGGGTTTAACTGTAGCTACCTAGAGCCACACTCCTGCTTCAGGTAGTGAACCTGTATCTCTTGCAGGGAAGGCTCTTTGGGTTTCTCTGTGCCAGCCTTTACTTGGGAGAAGTTTATGGACCGCAGCGTGAGCGATGGATGCTGTTTGGATGAAGATGCCTTTGCCCTTGAGAGAGGTGGGACCCATCCAGGCACCTTTGGTTGCCTCCTGCTTCAGGTGGTGAACCTGTATCTCTTGCAGGGAAGGCTCTTTGGGTTTCTCTGTGCCAGCCTTTACTTGGGAGAAGTTTATGGACCGCAGCGTGAGCGATGGATGCTGTTTGGATGAATTGCAGTGTAAACATTGTGATTATCCCTCTACTCCTAACACTTCCTTGAACTTTGAGAACTGCACGAAAACATCTGTAAGCTCTTAACGACACGATTGCAGCACAATGTGGTCTTCTGTCCGAGGGACTGGACTTCTGTCCTTCTGTCCAGGCGCTCACCCAGCGGCACAGGCTCTCCCTCCGTGCCCTAAGAGTTGCTGCTGGTCCAGCTTGAGTGGGGCTATGGCTTTGAAACTGGTGTGCTTGGCACAGCCGTGCCTGCCTTACGGCCAGGAGAGGAGTCCTCCCGGGGCCACGTTCCCTTTGCTGCCTGGCTGGAGAAATTGCTGGGGTCCACCGTTGATGCGCACGGCTGCCCTACTCTCTCTGTGGCAGGGTGGTTATTGATCTATCTCTAGTACACGAGATGATTCCATGTCTATATGTTATAATTACATGGCTTTTTTTTTTCTTGCTTTTTTTTCCCCTTAAATAGTAGCAATAATTCTGAAGGTCAAAAATAATGACCTAGGCTGACTGGGTATTTTAAAAGCTAATTTAGGAGGAAAATGAGGCATGAAAGAAATAACATTAGGAAAAGGTAGATCATTTAAGTGATGATCTTTGTTATACCTTGTAGAATTAGCTTCCTGTTCACAGTTCTGAGCAGCATTCGATCGTCCCAGTTATTGTAGTCCTTTAATCAAGTGTTCATTTTAAATGACTTACAGTACAGAGAGTTTTCCACTGTGGCTTTGCAAGGCCTTTTTTTATTCTGCAGGAGCGTAGATAAGGCCGAAAACGGACAGCTTGCTTGTGCAGGGTATCTGTCTCTGCCTTTAAAACTTTTTTTGGGATGCGTAACAATTCTTTTTTTCACTTGGGAATCATCTAAATTTGTTGCTGCTCTCCTTCTGCCATTCCCCAGGGGAAAAACATCCTTATAAACAACATCCAGCGATCCGTCCTGTTGCGATATTGAAGGGGGGGCTTGCTTCTGTCCTTGCACCCTCTCCCTCCTCCCATCCCACCCTCATCCTGCCTCTCCACCTCCCTCCCACCTGTGAAAGGATAGGACATGGACATCCAGCTTGCCTCTTACTTCTCCGGAGGTTTCAGCCGGTCCCTCTTGGCGATGGGCTCCCCATCATCCTCTTGTGACTAATAGCTGGTCATTGCTCTTCAAAGGAATTCCGTCTCGTTGGAGGTGTTATTTGTTGTGCCAGGAAGTCAGGCAGGCAACAGCGTGTCCTGCAGAGGAAGTCACTTGTACTGGGAAGGACGTAATGTCCTCGGGATGAGGGAATTTTTTAAAAAGGTCTTGAAGAACTGCAATACGGTAAAACATCAGTGGCTCGCTGTCAGGGGCAGCAAAACTGAAGATCTGCTCTGCTACACGGTTGAAAAAAAAAGTTTTAGTCAGTTCTCTGTGTATAAAAGGTCTTAAAAATATAAATTTTTCTTTCCAAAAATAATCAGAAGAAAAATGTATTTATTTTGGTCATTCACTTTCTCCAACAATAAGATCATCAGCCAAGAAGGAAAGATATGTCTTGAGACTCTGTCCGGAATATGACTGTGCAAAACGCACACACGGTGTGGGATAAGTGGGGATAAGGTGCTACATCCTATTTTTGTTCTGATATACTCCCATTTTGGAAAAATTTGTTAATTCCCCTCCACTATGATTCCATCCCTGCTTGGATTGAAGGTCATGCCGCACTCGGGTGCCCATGAGTCTCTGGACACCAGATGTCTCGGCAGAGCTGCTGTCGAGGTTTGCGTGAGCTGTGGGGTGCAGCCTTCTCCCCAGATGACACTTTATTCTTTATTCTCAGCTGGTGACGGGAGTATGGGAAGGAGGATACAATTTCTTCTGTCAGGACACGCACAGTGGAGGAGAAGCTGATATGAAGGTAACGTAATCAAGACTTATGGCTAATAATGTTTCAGATTGTCCGCTTGTGTCTAAGTGGAGAGAGGAACAGTATTGATTATGTGGATTTTGTTCAAGCTATATCCTTTTTTCCTCTTTTTACAATACACTGGACAATAGTGTAGTGACAGGACAAGGGGTAAGGGCTTTCAACTGAAAAAGGGGAGAATTAGATTAGATACTAGGAGGAAATTATTTCCTGTGAGGGTGGTGAGGCACTGGAACAGGTTGCCCAGAGAAGCTGTGGCTGCCCCATCCCTGGAGGGGTTCAAGGCCAGGCTGGATGGGGCTTGGAGCAACCTGGTCTGGTGGGAGGTGTCCCTGCCCAGGGCAGGGGGGTTGGAACTTGATGACCTCTAAGGTCCCTTCCAACTCTAACCATTCTGTGATTCTGTGACAATGCATTATCAAACATAATAGTTAATCTACAGTATATTCATGGTTGTTGTTTTGGTGAGTGATTATCTGTAAGTTTTCAGGTGTTACCAGGTCGAAAAACAAGGACTTGGTCTTCAGAATGTATCCAGTCGTTGTGGGGTGACTCCCCTTCTCTTTCTGAGATGTGGTGATGATTTTTTCTGGTCGCTGTTTAGACCTCTCCTTTACAGAGAGCACTGAGGGACTAAGTCTAGTTAAATATTTTCTTGTTTCTCTCAGGACACCCCAGGTGCACAGCAGTAGCCTCATAAAACAGTCTTTATCATCCTGTTGTCAACTGTAGCTTTGGGCTTGTACCTAGCTCTCCTACAGAGAGACCTGAGGCTGCTGAGGCATTACAGAAGATCTCAGCAGTGTCTTCAGTTCAAGTAGTGCAGGACAGAATTTGGATTTTACTTAGCTAGCAAAAGGGATTAAAGCCCCCACAACGTGCAATTCTTCTAAAACTTGTTTCCTCCTTTCTAGATCATACGTGTCCTCTGGTGGTACTACTTCTCCAAACTCATTGAGTTCATGGATACCTTCTTTTTCATTTTGCGGAAAAATAATCATCAGATCACTGTTCTGCATGTCTACCACCATGCAACGATGCTGAACATTTGGTGGTTCGTTATGAACTGGGTGCCTTGTGGTCACTGTAAGTACTGGGTTATGGTGGGGAACCCTTGCAACAAGGGCCTTGTTTTGGTTTTATTTTGGTCAAACCAAACTTCTCTGGTACCTTCAGCTGCAGGATCTGTTCTGTCCCATAGCCAGCTGCTTTGCTGAATTGAAACTGTTGCAGACAGTTGCAGGTATTAAGGTGCCTGCAGAGCCTCTAGAAAAGGCATGCCGATGTGGCTGGCATCTGCAAGATGGCTAGTAGTGACTCTTGTCCTTGTATCTGTCAAGTTCACTTGAGATGTTGCTTTCTTAATTTAATCTCATTATACCGGTAGCTATGACAAATTATTTCAATTAAAATCTTGTACCCCAAGCGCTAATGAACTTGACTGAATACATCTGAAGGGAAAGATTTCCATGTCTCTCTTGTCTAAATCCTGCTGACCTCTGGCTATCTCGCTTTGATTTTTTTTTTTTTATTTATTTATTTTATTTCATTGCTGTTAGCCGGCATCTAGTTTCCAAACTGCATTAGCGTGGCTTAGCTGTGGTTCAGATGTCCAGCCTATAGATACTGGCTTTGCTGAACCCTCATCCAAGAGAAACCTTTTCAAATCCGGTGGATGTGAACTGCTGGCAGTGCAGACCGAGAGGCTGGGTTGCTCAGGAGTCTGCTTCCTGAGCCAAACAACATAGAAACTCGTATTTGTTTCGTGTTGTCAGCACAACAGTGAGTAATGCTGGACTTCTAAAAAGTGTGCGTCTGGAACCACATTCTCCTCCAGGGAAGTCAATCCCTGTTTATACAACAGTCAAAAGTGCAGATACTTGGAGTCCCATCTTGTGTTTGTGTGGTCTTGAAAATACTTTTGTGCTATTTCTAGCCATGTGTTTTTTTCTTCTTCCTTTCCAAGCTGTATGTTCTGCTTGGTCATCACAGGACCATGCAGCTTGATGTTAAGCTAAAAGTTTCTTTAATGAGTAAAGGTGCTGTAAACAAGGAGAAATAAAAGAGCTAACTTGCATTTTCTGACTATATCTGTTACTTTTGGTTATAAATGACAAGATAGGCTCCTGCCCGGAAGGAAGTGAAATAAACCTAAAATTAGATGGGCGAAGCTATCGATCGTTGGGTGTGTTTATGTGCCTCCTTTTTATCGGCTTCCTCAGTTCCCTTGAGAAGCCAGAATGGAGATGTGAAAAAAGAATAAATCAAGGAAACAAAACCAGAAGGCTGGTATAAGCTGCACAGCTGCAAAGCAGCTCAGCCACGCCGTTGGGTGAGCAATAAAAAAATTCAGACTGAGGGGAATGGAAATCTCTTGCCTTTCTTCTAAGAAAAATCATATTTTAAATAGTAACATTTTGAACTTGTTATTTTTGTAGATTCTGTGAAACAGCGTGTTCCTGGTAATGCAGTGTACTTTCTTTTTCCTTTGCCCCTTTTTTTAGCTTACTTTGGTGCCACACTGAACAGCTTTATCCACGTCCTCATGTACTCCTACTACGGATTGTCTGCTGTTCCAGCAATGCGTCCTTATCTGTGGTGGAAGAAGTACATCACTCAGGGGCAGCTGGTGAGTGATGAGCTCTTCAGGGCCTCAGCAGGCTCTCGTGTCAGTGATGGGCTCCTCTTGTCTTCGCTGAGTTGCACAATTTTGGCAGGAGGTAGAAGAAAGGAGAATGAAGGCCAGTGCCTAAATCACCTTGGAGATCCAGCCTCTGCACCTCCCTTTGCTCTGTTTTCGGGGCGATGGGGAGCTGGAGGCTGATGGTGTACAAGGTCAGGAGGATCTTTCTCCACCTCCCCGTGTGTTGGTCGACTGTTGGCTGAACATGAGCCAGCAGTGTGCCCAGGTGGCCAAGAAAGCCAACAGCATCCTGGCCTGTATCAGGAACAGCGTGGCGAGTAGGGCCCGAGAGGTGATTGTCCCCCTGTACTGGGCCCTGGTGAGGCCTCACCTTGAGTACTGTGTCCAGTTTTGGCCCCCCTACCATAAAAAAGACATTGAGGTGCTGGAGCGGGTCCAGAGAAGGGCAACAAAGCTGGCGAGGGGTCTGGAGCACAAGTCTTATGAGGAGAGGCTGAAGGAACTGGGGTTATTCAGCCTGGAGAAGAGGAGGCTGAGGGGAGACCTTATTGCTCTCTACAACTCCCTGAAAGGAGGGCGTAGAGAGGTGGGGGTCGGTCTCTTTTCTCAAGTCACAGGCGACAGGACAAGAGGAAATGGCCTCAAGTTGCGCCAGGGGAGGGTCAGGCTGGATATTAGGAAAAATTTTTTCACTGAAAGGGTTATCAGGCATTGGAATGGGCTGCCCAGGGAGGGGGTTGAGGCACCATCCCTGGAGGTGTTCAAAAGACGGGTTGATGAAGTGCTGGGAGGTATGGTTTAGTGATGATGCTCCTTGTTTGTTGTGTGGGTGTCTATTTTTGTCAGTTAGGTTGACGGTTGGACAAGATGATCTTTAAGGTCCCTTCCAACCTAGAAGATTCTGTGATTCTGTGATTCTGTGTGGTGTGGCCAGTTGTATTTGGGAGTCGCAGCCCTGGGTTTTCTGGGACTCGCTAGCCAGGGAGGAGGGAGAAGCTTTTCTTCCAAGCCTGTTTGAGCTAACGCCTTCTTCTCTGTACTTGGTTGCTGGGGCTGGTGTTGAGATGACAGAGCAGAAAGCAAGAGCAACGCAGTGCCCAGCTAACAAGGCCCTTCATTCTAGTCCTGCGGGACAAAGGCTTTTCTGTCTCACTTTTGCACGCAGTTGTAAATGGTTTATTAAAAACTGTTCAATATTTCTGGTCTCCTTCTGCACTTTAAATGGGCAGATTTTTTTCTCTTGTAATTCTGTGTTGGACTCCTTGCATCCCGTTTGTATTGTTTCCTGTGTGTGCAGTGAGGAAGCCCGAAGGCCGTGTACTGGAGGTGAAAAGAACAACAAAATTAAGCAATACAGCACAGACTGTAGTGATACTGCACGAGAACCAGGTTTCAATGTGTGTAACATGTCAGAACACCACAAGGAAATGTGCATGGGGTTTCTGTCTTCCCCATTTTGTAGGTGGGGAAACTGAAGCCTAGAGATAAAGCCTTTTTCTTATTTTCCCCCGACCTTACCCCTCCTTAGCCCCCACTCAGAGCTGTGAATATATTTAATAACATTTGCTGGCGATGATTAATAACATTTGCTGCCAACAATTCGGTGTTGATCCTCAAAATCTTTTATGGTTTTTTTAACACTCTTCCTTCCTGATGGCAGGCAAAGTGTTGTAGCCGTGGGGATCGTTGGTTAGTGGGGGTGGAGGGATGGCTTTGCGGTTTGGTTAGTTGGTTTTTTGTCCTTCCAGATTAAGGCTCTATTCCTCGTGCTGGTTATTTGTGTGCTACAGAGTGCAAGTGTCTGGGTGCTTGGGCTGCTCCCCTGGCTATTCTCAGAGCTGCTTTCGCGTCCCTGCCTGCTCTGCCTGCGTAGCTGTTAGGGCAGCAAAACAGCAGAGCAGAACACAACAGTCTTTCCCTTTTTAAATAAACATTCCCTAATCTGGTAGCCTTCGTGTAAGGATGAATTTTGCCTAAGGCCCTCTGCAGCACTTAAACTCAAACTCTGTTTTTTCCAGAAGAGATAATTGAAGATAATTAAACCCCGGTCCTCCTCCCTGCCTCCCCAGCTTCCCTGCAGCCTTTTCCCCCAAAATTCTTAGGCTGGATCTGTGTGTAGACCCAGTGACCCCAAATCTCTTTTGCAGCTGAGGCAGTGAGATGCAGATCTACTCTGTTAGGATGGTAGAGTCAAACCCCAATGAGCTCTCACTAGGAAGAAGGTGGTCTTTTTTTTTCCTTAGTATATTTGTAAATCAAGTCTACTTAAGTTACTCCAATGGTCTAAAATGGAACAATATTAATCAAATAAAAACCACTTAAACAACAGAATACCACAATCTGAGTGAATGTCTGCTAACTTGGGTTTGAACTGATAGTAAGACAAAGATGATAAACTTGTCAGACACACAGTATTACATACTTTTGACTTGTTTTGGAAATAAATAATGAGAATTTGGTCACTAATGGCTTTTTTTTCCTCCTTGCATTAATGTGCTCCATTTGTCTTTTTTTTTTTTTTTTTTCTCTCTCCCCAGACTCAGTTTGTCCTGACAATCTTCCAGACCAGCTGTGGTGTTGTTTGGCCGTGTGCATTTCCTCAGGGATGGCTGTATTTCCAGATTTCTTATATGATTTCTTTGATTATCCTCTTCACAAATTTCTATATTCAGGTAAGAGTAATATTCATCGACCCTTTGTAGCATTCTGCTGGCAGCATCTCGTTGGAAAGCTGTTTGCAGAAAGATGTGCTTGAAATGCCCTTTTGCTATCTTCCAGTAACACACATACCTTCTCAAAGTGCTACACTTGTTGGTCTGCCCTCCAATTTCCAATCTTCTAATGTTTTGTATCCGGAATTCAGACCGATTAGGAATTTCAGTAAGCAGAGTGGCACAACGAGGCATTTTACTAATGCAATTTTAACTGCGGATAAGGGAGAGCTTTATGTAAGGAACAGCTTTCCAGTCTGAAAGAAGCCAGCAGCCTGTGAAGCACCCCAAGGAATTGTTCATTACTGTACTTACCAGGGGAAATGCTTGTATAATATCCAAGGAAACTTCCCAAACTCACAGAAATCTAGTTTTGGCTCACCTTTGCAGGCATTTGTTTGTATTTCCGTATGGAAAAATAAGCGTTTCGAGTTGTGTTTCTACAAAACTGATTTCCTGTCTGAACAGATCCAGGCTTGGTTTGTGTTGTTCTGGGTAGTTCATAATCAGGATCTGTGCAAAGATGGACCCACCTTCAGCAAACGAAACCAACACAGCCTACTGCCCCCAAACAGGCAAACTCCATTATGTATTTTAAATGTCTCTTGAAAGATTTGAACATTTTGGGTCTGGGAAGAGTGAGTCATGGGGGGAAACACAGCAGGCTTCCCTATCTGATCTTCTGGTGCTTCTTAAAATCAGTCCCGTGGCTCATAATCACTTGCTGCATATGAACATGCTAATTAAACACGACAGTATTGCATCACTTAATCATCAGTTTTACTCATATTTTAACTTTTAACCATGTAACTTTCTTTCACACACACATATTTTGGGAAATATGCTCCTTTTGACAAAGACTAATTCATGTGTGTCTTTTCCCTGTCTCTAATTTTTGTTTGATGTCCTGAGCTGCCCTGATCCTCTTTGTTTTTGCTTCCCGTGTTGGCCAGTGCAAATTCCTCTCACGTTTGTCTGTGAACTCCCCTGACTGTCCTTGTTTACCCCCGGCCTCTTTTGGCTTTGCTTGAGATAGTCACCTGCAGTGCATCAAACCTCCTTCCTCACTTGTCGTTTGGAGCGTATTCTTCTGCCATGGTCTGCTCATAAAATCGCTTCCCTTGTTTCTAATTTACTGTTAACCTGGCACTACCCATGCTACCATCACACTTTTCTTTTCCAGTGAACTCATTCTCTCTCCGTGATGAATGAAAGGCGTGTTGTAGCCTCGTACACAAAAAATGGTGGAGCTTGTTAGACTCTGCCACCGGCCCGAGGTCTTTAAAAGTGATGGATGCAAGTTTACTCCTGAGTTTCTTGAGTCACTGTGAGGAAGCGGTTATTTCTATCTGTCTAAGCAAAACCACGTGTCTTTCCTTATATTCTAGACTTACAACAAAAAGGCGTCCTCGAGGAGGAAAGAGTATCAGAACGGCTCCGCGGCCACCGCGAACGGGTACACAAACAGCTTTTCTTCCCTTGAGAACAATGTGAAACAAAGGAAACAAAGGAAGGATTGAAGACCAAACTGAAAAACCATTTTGATAACCCCAACAACAAAATCATCTGATTGTAAGCACAATAAGAGTTGTGCACTAATACTCTAACAGCTACTGTAACTATTCCTGCCTAGAATAGTGTGATTTATGTAGGACTTAACCAGTGCAAACACCCTAGAAACCATATACAGAACATAAAAGTAGGTTAAAGTTTTAAAAATAATTCTGGGCTGTCACTGACCCCGCTATAGACTGTGGAAGGGAGTATTATCGTAGTATCCGACACTGCTGTTGCCTTACTAGTCAATATGATAGGTGCTGAATTATGATTCACAATTTGAAAACACTGTAATCTAAACCTCCATTTTTTTTACTGTAGTTCATGCATGTGATTGTAGAGGTAATTTGTACGATGCTGGTTTCAGTAGATAAAACACACATGCCTTAAATTAAAAAGCAGGGCCCAAAGCTTATTACTGGTTTAAAAATTAGGGTATGTTTCAACTTTTCAGTTGACTGACTTTTTATTAAAAAGTCATTTAAAAGAATCCATTGGTCATTTTACTGTTCTGTGTGTGATACACGACGTTGTTACGTATCTCTTACGCAACACAGTGAAATTGGAAATGGGCGCATTTAGTTTTGTATATTTGGCTTTAACTGACTAAACAGTCACAAACCAGATGGAAAAGTTATTTTACCTTTTTAATAGATCTTATTTTTTTATTTGAATTGTGTCACTAGTGTAAAATTAATCGGCACTTACACAGTCCAGTAAGACTTAAGTATTGTCTCTAAGGTTTAGAGTATGTACAGGGTGGACCCATCTTTTCTTTTCTTTTCTTTTCTTTTTAGCAGGCTTCCCTATCTGATCTTCTGGTGCTTCTTAAAATCAGTCCCGTGGCTCATAATCACTTGCTGCATATGAACATGCTAATTAAACACGACAGTATTGCATCACTTAATCATCATATTTTAACTTTTAACCATTTAACTTTCTTTCACACACACACACACCTCGAGTATTGTGTCCAGTTCTGGGCACCTCAATACAAGAGAGATATCGAGGTGCTGGAGCGAGTGCAGAGGAGGGCAACGAAGCTGGTGAAGGGCCTGGAAGACAAATCATATGAAGAGCGGCTGAAGGAGCTCTGCCCCCAAACAGGCAAACTCCATTATGTATTTTAAATGTCTCTTGAAAGATTTGAACATTTTGGGTCTGGGAAGAGTGAGTCATGGGGGGAAACACAGCAGGCTTCCCTATCTGATCTTCTGGTGCTTCTTAAAATCAGTCCCGTGGCTCATAATCACTTGCTGCATATGAACATGCTAATTAAACACGACAGTATTGCATCACTTAATCATCAGTTTTACTCATATTTTAACTTTTAACCATGTAACTTTCTTTCACACACACATATTTTGGGAAATATGCTCCTTTTGACAAAGACTAATTCATGTGTATCTTTTCCCTGTCTCTAATTTTTGTTTGATGTCCTGAGCTGCCCTGATCCTCTTTGTTTTTGCTTCCCGTGTTGGCCAGTGCAAATTCCTCTCACGTTTGTCTGTGAACTCCCCTGACTGTCCTTGTTTACCCCCGGCGTCTTTTGGCTTTGCTTGAGATAGTCACCTGCAGTGCATCAAACCTCCTTCCTCACTTGTCGTTTGGAGCGTATTCTTCTGCCATGGTCTGCTCATAAAATCGCTTCCCTTGTTTCTAATTTACTGTTAACCTGGCACTACCCATGCTACCATCACACTTTTCTTTTCCAGTGAACTCATTCTCTCTCCGTGATGAATGAAAGGCGTGTTGTAGCCTCGTACACAAAAAATGGTGGAGCTTGTTAGACTCTGCCACCGGCCCGAGGTCTTTAAAAGTGATGGATGCAAGTTTACTCCTGAGTTTCTTGAGTCACTGTGAGGAAGCGGTTATTTCTATCTGTCTAAGCAAAACCACGTGTCTTTCCTTATATTCTAGACTTACAACAAAAAGGCGTCCTCGAGGAGGAAAGAGTATCAGAACGGCTCCGCGGCCACCGCGAACGGGTACACAAACAGCTTTTCTTCCCTTGAGAACAATGTGAAACAAAGGAAACAAAGGAAGGATTGAAGACCAAACTGAAAAACCATTTTGATAACCCCAACAACAAAATCATCTGATTGTAAGCACAATAAGAGTTGTGCACTAATACTCTAACAGCTACTGTAACTATTCCTGCCTAGAATAGTGTGATTTATGTAGGACTTAACCAGTGCAAACACCCTAGAAACCGTATACAGAACATAAAAGTAGGTTAAAGTTTTAAAAATAATTCTGGGCTGTCACTGACCCCGCTATAGACTGTGGAAGGGAGTATTATCGTAGTATCCGACACTGCTGTTGCCTTACTAGTCAATATGATAGGTGCTGAATTATGATTCACAATTTGAAAACACTGTAATCTAAACCTCCATTTTTTTTACTGTAGTTCATGCATGTGATTGTAGAGGTAATTTGTACGATGCTGGTTTCAGTAGATAAAACACACATGCCTTAAATTAAAAAGCAGGGCCCAAAGCTTATTACTGGTTTAAAAATTAGGGTATGTTTCAACTTTTCAGTTGACTGACTTTTTATTAAAAAGTCATTTAAAAGAATCCATTGGTCATTTTACTGTTCTGTGTGTGATACACGACGTTGTTACGTATCTCTTACGCAACACAGTGAAATTGGAAATGGGCGCATTTAGTTTTGTATATTTGGCTTTAACTGACTAAACAGTCACAAACCAGATGGAAAAGTTATTTTACCTTTTTAATAGATCTTATTTTTTTATTTGAATTGTGTCACTAGTGTAAAATTAATCGGCACTTACACAGTCCAGTAAGACTTAAGTATTGTCTCTAAGGTTTAGAGTATGTACAGGGTGGACCCATCTTTTCTTTTCTTTTCTTTTCTTTTCTTTTCTTTTCTTTTTTTTTTTCCTATTTCTGAGAATTCTTAAATGCTAAATGAAGAGTGGTTTTTAATATGAAACTGGCAGAATTTCAAGTGTTATTACCATAGCCATATCCGCATTTTAGGAGCTACTGTTCAAGTCTGACATATCCAAAAATGTATTTAAAAACGGAGACAGAAAGATGCTTTTCTGATGGAGTTGTCTGTATTTAAGTTGGTATCTGTACTGTTCTTCGTGCACCGTATGTTCATTTTTAAAATGTGCCTAACACAAGCGTGGTTTTTTCCCAAACAAGCAAAATTAAACAGTCTTAAGTCATTACCTAATGTTTTTTCAATGTTACCGAAAATGTGCTGGAAATGTCTGTTTCTGTGATGCGAGTTGTGTGTATCACTGGTAATGTTTTGGCTTTGTTATCTGAGGATCAGGTTTGAGTGCTTGTTCAAGTTACTCCTTCTTGTAAAATCTTGCCTTGCACGTCTGAGGAGTCGGTTGCCAAGCCAAGATCTATTGCTGGTATTCTGGTATCTGCCGTGGTGGAGTTTGGCTTATGAATATTTTATTCATTAAGCTCTGAAAAATTGAATTGTGCAAGACATTCTGCTGGTCATTGCTCAAGATGAACTATTTGGGTTTTTTTGATATTTATATAAATGCCAGTTTTAACATGTTTAATTTTTTTTTTTTTAATTAAATCTTTTTAAAAAATTTTTGCACATCTCTTAGGGAATTAATAAGTTCTCCTACTAGCCTTGTGGGTTTTCATTCCTTGTTTTGAAGGAGACAGTGTCTGTTATGTTTACATTATCAAAGCTTGTGCGTGTGTCTTCATTTCTAGGTACTGGTTTGCAGAGTCTTTACATAGCTCAGTACAGCAGCTACAATGTTCAAAAATAGGCTGTCTAAATGTGCTAGAAATAAACCCTTGGCTCATCTGAATATACCTACATTGTTAATGTTTGACATAGTTTAATCATTAAAACACTTTTGATGATCTCTGCCTGAATTCCGGTGGGTTTGTACAGATTTAATGCATTCCCCCATCCTGCCTCAGGCCAAGGAGGAGCCATCGTGATGGCAGGACAGCTGCAGATATGCAGAGAAATTTAATGTACCAGAGATTTGGCAACCTGTTCCTTACAGAAAGCTTTGGCTGTTGCTAAAGGCTGTTCCCTTGCCTGCCTGTAGAAAGACTAGTTCATGTGATGGATTGAACCTCCCGCTGGGATTACTGACTCACTCGATGCAGAGCAGCCCAGATGGCTCCGACATGATGAGTGCCAGGAGCAAAACTTAACGTGGCCAAGAGGGACTCTCTGCCTCAGATATCCTGTCTATAAAATGGGAATTACACCTCTCTTCAGAATGGGAGCATTTTTGCAATTTCCTTATAGCTCCCCTTGCCCTTCAGTCATCATTTCTGAGCCCTCTCTGATCTGAGTGTTTAATCAGCTCATTGCAAACAGCCCAGATCGCTTGGTGGTGGACTTAGGGAAACCAGAACTACTTACATAGCTGTCTGTCTGCTCACTTGTGGGCTCTTAAAACAAGAGAGGTAGTCCAGGAGAATGGGTTTTGCACTTTGTGTGCAAGGCTCAGAGGTTTCTTGCTGTGCTGGTCTCCTCTGGGAGGGAGGTCCAAGTGCCTGAGATGGTTTTTGTCTCCTCCGCTTGCAAATTCAACTTTGAAATTGGGTGTTTTTCCAAGCGGGGCCCAATAAGGTGCAGTTCTGCAGGTAATAAGCCAAATCTACAGGGATTGCCTAGAAGGTTGAAGCCCCAGCACCAGCCTGGCATCCCCCAGTGAGCCAGTGGAGACTGGGCTCCTGTGCTCCAAACCTAGCCCTCCGGGTCATTGGCACAGGGTGACAAAACATGATGGCTTTATCATTGTTTGCCACCACGTAGACCCAGTGACTTTGTCCAAAACTGGCGGGAGCTGTCATCTTGGGAAGATGTATAGCATCGGTAGCATTCACGCCTGCAGGTAGAAGATGGTGGCTCCTGGGTACTCTTCTACAGTCTTAGCAGCAAGTGAATTGTGTCTGAGGGCTGTCAGGGTTGGGTTGGACATCACTGTACTGTCACTGACTGACTGAGGCAGGAGCCCTGGGGCTGCCTACCTTGCTCATCTTCCAACACGTTACCTGACCTGAGGCAAGGAAGAGCCTTTGGGTCACCTTAATCCCTGTTCTTGGGATTGGAAGAGTCCTCCAAAAGGACTTTTTTGAGCTGTGAAGGCTGGAGAGATGAAAAAAGGCCAACTGCTACCGACGGAGTGAAAAGGTTTCCTGTAAAGTCAGCTGAGGAGAACGGAACACTTCAGCATCTACTTGCGAAGAGGGAATGACCAAGCTTCAGACTGGTAGGTTAAGGTGTCCCTCAGCTCACGAGCTGCTCAGATCCCTTCCTGTAGTCGGGCCCCACAGCCCTACAATGATGGAGAGGGGAGTGAATGCTTTCATTAAGCTGTGAATACGAGGTAAGGTCCAAGCCCAGAGCATAGCCTTTCCTACGGTGGGTGGTCCTGGTGTGGAGAGCCCAAGTGCTGTATCACGGACGTGCAAGCCACCGCTGGGGCTGGGGTCACTCAGGCACTGGGAATCCTGAGGTGGGAGAGGGTAGTGGAAAAGCAGAGAACAATTCTGTGAATCCAGGAATTCTTTGTGGTGGGCTGTGTACGTTACTAAATGCATGGCAGATATTAGGTAAGCGCTGGAGCTTCTGGTAGGACTTCTGCCACTAAAAGTGGGGCAAAGAAACCCTCAAAGCCCCAAACCTCATGGAGATCTGTTCTGGGGGTTGCCTCTGCCTTTGATGTTTGGTAGCTGTCTTGAGGTGTAAGTTGATAGAAATGTGTGTGTGTTCTATGAGACTGGAATATATGTTATT